TCAAGTTGTGCCAGGGGAGGTTTAGATTGGACATGAGGAAAAATGTCTTTACTGAAAGAGTGGTTAAACATTGGACCAGGCTGCCCAGGGAAGGGGTTGAGTCCCCATCCCTGGAAGTATTTAAAAGACGTGTAGATGAGACGCTTAGGGACATGGATTAGCAGGCATGGTGGTGTTGGGTTGATGGTTGGACTCGATGATCTTAGAGGTCTCTTCCAACCTCAATGATTCTAAAGCCACTGCCTATCAGGAACATGCTGACAAGCCACACTGGCGGCACAGCTGTGGCTAACCGGTTTTCCCTTTCCGTCTCTAAGCTTTCCAGCACACCAGCTCAACTTCAACATGGCCATTCACATCATGGGTTGTGTCACATGCTTGCCAGAGGTGACAACCAACATCTACTCATGACAAACCGCATATTAAGTAGCATGCCAACACAGTAACTGGTGCCACCCTGAAAGCTTTGCTCTCAACGAGCACAGCAGTAAGTTCTTATCTAGGGGAGTGTGGGACAACTCACATTCGAGGACCCCGCTCTGAAGAAAACTCGCAGTGGAACACTATTATCACTCGTTTGTTCTCTGATGGCTGGATTGGCTTCTTAAGCAAGTAGTCTTCCACATCCTCTTCCATATGTAGGTTTACAGCACCCTGTAAAGGCAGTCATGCCCGAGCACACGCAGTGAGTGGAGGAGAACAGTAACAAACCTATCCCACTTCCTTGCAAGCTGTTTCCTCATCTTGGTTTCCTAGAGGAGCTCTGGCAACGCTCTCTAGCTGTTGGGAACACAGCTTCAAACCCAAGCAGACATTACAGATAGCCTAACGCTGACTCCAGGTGACCTGGACCTGTTTCAGATGGCCATTTCAACAGCCGTAGGTTGTGGCTTGTTGCATTTCCCTTCCCATCTCATTGCATCCGAGAGGGCCAGCCAGCTTGCTCAAGCAGCAAGCTTCAAGATCAATTATGTTTTGCACAGCCACTTGTTCTTTGAAGTCTGTGGTTTAAATTAAGTTTAACATTCTAATTTTAGCTTCCCTAGGTATCAGGATGCTGGACACCGAGTGTCTTACATCCTCCTCTGGAACCATCCCCCTGCTTGCCACACAGGCCACCTCCTCTGCTTAAGGAAAGCAGAACATTCCCTCCTTTGAGGGAAAAGTCACTTTATGAACCAAGTGTGAGCTCAGCATCCTGAGATTCACGCAGCGTGTGGGCATAACAGGATCACAGATCCCAGTGGGGCACTTCGGCATCTCAGCTATAACACATCCACAGGGCCTTGGATACTCGCTAATAAAGAACAGCCCACGTGGTGCCAAGTGATCCCAGTTTGCAACTTCAGACAACCCTACATTGCTCTTACGGGGTCAACATACCTTGATGTGTCCTCCTTCATACTCATACGGGTATCTACAATCAATTATCACGCATTCCTTGATGAAGCTCGCAAACTTCCCAGTCAGCACAGACACAATCTGAAAAAAAAAAAAACACAAAACAAAAAAGATGTTTCAAGATGTTTTTGTGTTGTTCCCCCCCCTTCCCCCAGTAAAGAATTTTGCTTACTGTCCCTGGAGCACGTACCATTTCTGAGTCGATATATTTTAAATCTTGATGTTTCCCATCAACAGTGTGGAATAAATAACCCTATAAGACAGAAAGATGTTTTGTGTTGTTCCCCCCCGCCCCCAGTAAAGAATTTTGCTTACTGTCCCTGGAGCACGTACCATTTCTGAGTCGATATATTTTAAATCTTGATGTTTCCCATCAACAGTGTGGAATAAATAACCCTATAAGACAGACAGCATTTAATTGAGAATGTTCCAGATGTGAGCCACGTAGGCGACAGCACAGCGCCCAGCAGTTAGTTTTGTAACACAGATGCCCCCCAGTAAAGAATTTTGCTTACTGTCCCTGGAGCACGTACCATTTCTGAGTCGATATATTTTAAATCTTGATGTTTCCCATCAACAGTGTGGAATAAATAACCCTATAAGACAGACAGCATTTAATTGAGAATGTTCCAGATGTGAGCCACGTAGGCGACAGCACAGCGCCCAGCAGTTAGTTTTGTAACACAGATGCTTTGTTGACAAGAATCTCTTCAGCTTTGCTAGAGTTAAAACTAAGAATTCTAAAATTCAGGGACAGAATTTTATTTTTGGCTCCTATACTGAAGGGAATTTTGTAGATCTTTTTGAATTAACACTTGACCATTAAATCACTTGAATTACCTTTGAGAAGTCACCAATAAGATCTCTCTGGTCACTGTCCAAAATGCTTTCGATCTCTGCTGTGGAGGATTGCGTCTTTACCATTTTCAAACTCTAGAGGAACATGGTTTAGAGATAAATGCCAAGCACTGACAGCAGAGACCCCCTTTTCCCAGAGCATAACAGAAAACTCAGTTTACTCTGAAGCCCTGAACTACGACTCCCCAGCTTCCCCTTTGGATTAAGGCAAAACTCAGGCTCAAGAGTATGCAATTACTGCACCAGCTCCCCCAAACCTCCTGCACTATGCAGAGAGAATGCAGTTTCGCTCAGTCAGCAGTTCACCTGAAAAAGCTCTCTCATTAACCTTCATAAACTAGACACCTATATTAGATCCTCTCCTAATCAAGTCTCTGTTACAAAATTGGATGCCAAGCCACCAACCGTCGAGTCCTCAGAAGGTGTTCCAGGCAGGCTTTTCCTCTTCTTGCTTTTCCCTGGAGAATTCTCTTCTTGGGATCTCTCCATCCTTTTCTGGGTGGTTCTTCCTACCCCACTAGGCAGAGATGAAGAGCCAAACAACCGGCATCGTTTGGCCTACAAGGAAGGAGAGATGTTAGAGTTGTCTAGCAAAGATTTAGATTAGAAACTAAGCAAGCCTCAGACTTTCAGACTACTACAAATTTTGCCTTGTATAGACGCTGCCACTGCACAGCAACAGCAGGATGTTAGTAGGGTCATCTAAATTCAGGACCTACATGTCCAGTAACACTCGTTTCTTGCTGTGCGGACTGGGTGAGCTTGGAGCACCAGGAGCAATATGATGTGCTAGCAGAGTGCTTTATACCAATTAGCAGACAATCTATCAGCAGATTAAGGAGCTTTTTGCTGGAGTCTAAACTCCCTTCACAGTCTATTATCAGAAGATTGGGCTACAGGCATTCCAGGTAAGGCTGTGCAGAATGTATGCAAGATATGTCAACAAGTATCTGATAAGGGAAGTCAAGATCTTGCATTTATGAAGTGTTTTTGTAAAAAGAAAGTTAATGCCTATATATGCACACAATCAGCATTGTTCCGCACTGACAAAGTCTCCCAGGTAAACAGGCTTTAGAGATAACAGAATACTGAAGGGGGTTTATGCCATATCTTGTTTTGTTGTTATTAGGCATAAAGGATCAGAGACAGTGCGATCACTTGTCCCAGTAGTGAAAACGGCTGCCAGAACAAAGTCCCCGTCTCCGTTCTGTTGTGCTCTGCCAGAACACTTACCCGATTGTCTGTTCTCCTCATGACTAGTGGTGCAGTCCAGAGGCTCGCCACATCAGATGGCATCTCCTCATCGTTCTGAGGAGAAAAAAAAGTTCATTCTCATCTATCCGTGGGCAGAGACTGTAAATATCTACAGCTTCTGCACAGCTCAGGCAAACATTCCAGCTGAATTCAGCTGTCAGATCAGTTTTAGGAATTTAACACAATTACTAGTCCAATAATGGAACCGAGTTGAAACATGTTGGAGAAGGTCAGTTATATCAATTCATTGATTGATTAACAATGATGTTCCTCCAAAGCTTTAAGCATTTCAAATTCAGTTGGAAACAGTCTTCTATTTAAGTGGCTTGAAAGCAAATATCACCTCTAGCTCTTTCAGCAAGTTTCTAAAGAAAAATGCCAACGGTTCAAATAATCCTCTCTAGTAATGCAATTCTCATCTGCCAATAAGAACAGCAGCAATTCTTAAACTGCTGTTCACACCCCAAGTAATCCCCATTTTCTGCACTAGGAAAGAGCACATATAAGATAGAGACACTGAAAGGTAAGAGTTGAAAGAGATGATTATAACTCATCTTCTAGGATTCCCTAGTACCTAGCTTTTTGCAGTCTGACTCGCCACACTGACTTCTGCTAGAACATACATGCACCACGGACACATATTGTTGGCAGACTATTAACATTACAGAGCTGTTTTTGAAGTGTCTATCGTACTTCCTTTGTACATACCTTCAAATCTTGCTCATCTAGCAGCTCTAGGAATCCATCATCATCTTCACTTTCAGAGGAAGTCAGAGAAGACTGCTGCAGGAAAGCTGGCCTATAGTCTTCCTGTTCACCCGTGCGTATTTCACCAGTGGGAAACTGAGACAAGACAGTTAGTTTTAACAACGTTCCTTCTCTCTACTGCAGGATGCTGTAACCACAGAGGCGATGCCATGCCTCTCACTGCACTACAGGAAACAAGGTCCTTATTCCGCCACCTTGAACACACTGACTTGAGCAAACCCCAAACCGAGTTCCAACACTTTTATTTGATCCTTACAACAGCAGAGTGCTTCGTTAGCCTCATTAAGCAATAACCCTCTTCTCTGGAAGAAGCTAGCCAGCAAAGGTGCAAAGGAGAGAAATGGGTGGTGTCAGTAGGACCAAGAATTAATATAAATCCTGCAGCTGATGAGAAAAAGATCAAGAGTACTAAGCAGGACGAAGGACTACCAGGTTCAAGGAGTGGAGACAAGACTTAGTTCCCCCAGCGCTGTTTCTGTGCAAGGCCCACCATATTCTTTCAGTTGCTTTTTCTAAGCAATAGAATACAAATAAGGTAATATTTTCTTCCTGCATGTCATATCTGGACATAAGATTCAGTTGCATCTACACAGTTGGCTTCATTGTTCCAAATGCATCTGCCTCAACATAAATATCTACTTTACTGATAGTGAAAACAATTTCAAGCTAGCTTCCTCTATTCCACAGCGATGTCCACGCTCCCTTGAGTTACTGCAGCAGAACCTCAGCTCCGTATTGACTGATCTTTCACAGGCTACAGAACAATCCATGTTTCAAACTTCTGACCATCTCATGAGCCAAACGTTGAGTTTTCTTATCTGGCAGACAGGTAAGTTTTTCTATTTGGCACATGAATAGTAGTGATTAACAGCATTGTCTTAGAATCATGATGCAATTTTTCTTCCTCCCAGACAGTAGGTATGCAGAGGATTAGCTGAGAATTAGTTGCAGAGAACACTGTACTACTTACCATCCGAGCTGGAGACAAACTCTGCCTTGGTCCAGGAACACCTTTTCCATCATGGGAGTGGACGTGCACAGAACTACGAGAAGCTGGTTTGGTTGGCTTCTTAAACTCAAACGATTCCTGAATTCAAAGGAAGCAAAGCGACCACGTTACCAAAATTAAATGGCGTAAGTTGCTAGGAGCATTTTATCCTTTAAGCTACCCGACGTTTTGGATTTAAGTTCCCTCCTACCAACAGGAATAGTCTGAAGGCATGTGTTTTCAAATTAAAAGACGTTACAATAGCGATTCATTTAACATAATCAAGCTTTCATCCTCTTGACATCACCTGCAGGCTTAAGGCTTTTCTATTTCTTTTGTCAGTCAACTTCTCTGCAAAAGAAATCATTTTTAAAGGCAGCCAAGGCTGTCTCCTGACACCCGCTTTTCTGTAGAGACCTGTCAGAGTCCTACCGATGGGATTTCCAGCAGCAAGGCCTTTCAGAGAAAGCAAGCAAAAGGACATTTGTGCTGTGAGGAACCAGGGCTCCCCACATCTGCAGCGGAAAGAGATGAGGTGATCTATCTAAACAGCTTCCTGGAGGCACCCCTCGTAGCTATCTAAAGCTAGCAGTATGAATACATTTTCCCTTGCCACAGCCTAAAAGGAGTCAGGTTCAGTAGCACGAAGGTAGAGCTGCACAATCAAAGTCTTCCAAATTTTTATTAACCTATAATCAGTTTGCAGTCGCTATAATCGGTGCTGTCGCACTTCACTGCAAGTTCCCCTACACTAAGCTATGCAAAACTTTGTTATGTCTGAACTACAGCCTGGCAGAGAGTAAAAGAAGCCTTTTCCACCGCATCCACTGCTGAAGGGCTGGACTAATTCAGCTTCCTTGCTACCGCCTCTTACACCATATCATCGCAGGCAACAGAAAGCAACACTTACATTTTCCTTATTTTCATCTTGTTCCAATAGTTGAAAAGCATCGCTATCCAGAGAATCGGCGTGGTTTCTCTTCAGAGCAGGACTGGATCCCAGGAGGCTTTGCTACAACATTCATACAAAAGTGCCAGTTCAGTATTGCGCAACATAGTCTTTGCACGACTACATTTTAAGCAAAACAGGGGTTAATGAAGACTGTAAGGTCTCCGACTACAAATTGGTGCAAACTGTGTGCAGGAGTCTTATGCTGACATCTCGGCACAGGTACCAAAATGCTTCAACCGCATTAGTGACAAAGCCACATCACTGAAATTTCACACTAACTTAAATGAGGTTTTGAGTTTACAAGCTGTAATTTTGACAGTTTTCATTAAGTACCACAGCAGCTGTTCTTGAAGACAGAAAATGAACAAGTTATGGAACGTATCCAACTAAAAACACTTAACACGCTAAATCCTTTAACGTTTATACAAGACCAATACCACCCTCACTTACTGGCAGTGAATGTATTCTTCTGAAAGGCATTCGAATGCTACAATGAAAGAGAACCAAGATTTATTTCAACATTTTGTTTTAAAAGATGGTAACATGAGTAGAACTCACTTTCCCCCCTCCCAATAAAACTCCATAAGCTACAACAGTCACCGACAAAAGTTAAAAATCGATGTATACTTACTTCAGTCTGCTGGATTCAAGAATTGCTTTCTCAAACCTAAAAGCAAGCGAGATGCCCCACAGTTAGCACCAAAGGATAGTACCCTAAAAGTCACCGTTCTATTTAAGTCATGGAGTGTTACGCTAAGCAGAAGCCAACATGCTTATTGGTGACACTTTGTCGTTCTCAAAAGCTATTTATAGCCAGCTTATCCCATCCTAGTTTTTGAAACACTAGCTAGACTCCTTCACCCCCTCCTTTCCTTAAATTCTTTTCAGCGTTGTTTAGACGAGAAGCTAGGCTAAAGGAAGAAGAGCTCAGCAAATCAGAGACCAAGGGCATCTGTCCCCCATCCCTGGGGATAGAAGATTAGGAAAAGAAAGATAACCTAATCAAGAGCGGCAAATTCAAAGCTAAGAGCAACTGCTTGGTATCAGTTAAGGCAAATTATAATTTATGCTTGTATGTAAGTGTTGAGTGAAAACTGCAACTTACATGCAATGTGGTGCAGCCTCAGACTCCCGGTAAGGTGCCAATGTCATGCTCAAACAGTCTGGTTGGTACAACACATTAACTCAGACCCAAAACTTGTTAAGTACTCTGGGACACAGACAAGACAGAAAGCCTAGCATCTCAAGCTGCAGAGCACTACAGCACACGCTTCTACAAGTTGGAGAGAGAAGAGCCCACTGCACACATGCCAGCAAAGGAAAAGCCACGTCAAGCCTCTCATTAGCCCACATCTGATAATGCTGCAACGTGGAATGCCAGAAGTCAGGCTTAGCATATGGTTACATACGTTTCCTCCATGATATCGTTTGAGGCTGCAGGACCAGGCGAATCCAAAGCGCAACCTGCAGAGGAGAGACAGTGTTTTCTACTGAGTAGTATCTAGGAAATACAAAGTATTAGACACCGCTACAGATTTCCTCAGAGACCCTGAGCTCAGACGGGAAACTCATGTGGAAAGTCCCATCTGCAGCCACACCTCAGTGTAGAAGTAAATAACAGTTACAGATACTCCATACTGTTGGGTTTGGCCATAGATAATCAGGTGTTTGTGCTTGGGGAAAAACAGGAGTAATTAAAAAAGCACCCCCAGCCCTGCCTAGCATGTCATGCAGAAGAGAGTGCTACCACGTAACATGGAATACTCTTGGCTTGTTCTCTCACACACACATCTTCATAAACAACTTAGTCCTTTAGGGTTTTTTAAGCCATGTTTTTAGTTACACCTCTTCATAGGAAGAAATTTTGGGGTCATTCCAAAAAAAAGAAAAAAAAAAAGAGTAGTCAAAGGCCCTCCTTAATGCACGCTAGTGTACTGGAAATAACAGCAAGCACTCCAGAAGCACAAACCAAGCGAAACATTACAGCTACATAGCATTTAAGTACAGTCAAATATGAAGCTTACTTAAACACAGATTCCCCAAGGAGTTTTTGTATTACAGTAGTATTCCCAAGCCCTAGTGGCAGGCCAACAGCTTACCAGAATACACTCTATACCATCATGACAAGACTTGTTGCTACTTCAGTGACTGTGATCTAAACAAACAACTACAAAGAATTAATCTGACTAACATGACAGGTAATGATCTCGGCACAGCAGAAACCTTAATCACGAGTGTTTTGTAAGCGCTTAAGGCCTGCTTTGGAGGCAGGAAAAAAAGAAAAAAGACAAGAAGAAAGTGGAGATTTAGCAAGCTTGATAATTCTGTCCCACTCCGTGGTTTGCGAGCTATACTCATGTTTCAGCGGCTCATAAAGTTCCCTTGAAGGCTGAAAGCACCATGCACGGTCAGACTGGTGCATAAATTCAGATGGAGACACTGATTTCCATTGCTGGGCTGGACCAATGAAGTATCAGAGGCTTCCCTGATTCTACAAGTCATGGGGTTATAGCTTATTGCATTTTCTCTTATAAAACATCACATCTGAAAAAAAAAAATACTTCTGGGCAAGTATCAGTACTAAGATGCAGCTCCCCAGGTTTCAGATAAACAATCAGTTCATGTTAACAAAAAGCCACAGAAAAAAAAAAGCAAGCCACAAGACAAACCCAGCTCAACAGCCTTGATTCGAGCGTGCAGAGCTGGTTAACATAGTTTGGGTTGAAGAGAGAAACCACACGGTGACAACTTGCTTTCATCACAGTTATCACCCTCCAAAGGGCAGAAACTCAAATGGGTCCCATTCAGAGCTGAATGCAGATATGCAACAGATCCTAACAATGAAGAATGAAACACTATCTCCCAGTTCTCCAGACCACAGCCCCAACACGCAACTATAAACACTCACAAGCCAATATCTGCAAGACACCCCAGACTAGAGAATGGTGGGAATCCAATTCACCACCAAAGCCTATCTTGGGCTATCTTCAGCAGCCTTCATCTTCAGCCGCCTCTACTGCAAGAAAGGCTGATACGCTCATGATAAGGTGTTGACCTACTACCATGTACAGAGCAGAACATCAAGGCAATCAGAAAATGGTAGTGATAAACATCATGCTGGAGTACAACGAATGACAGGTCAGTAACCACGTCTTAACAGTCATCCTAAGAAAAAAGCCACCTCTGTCAGAGTCCCCCTGTGGGGGCAGAACCAGTTTTTCCTCCATGCTAGCTCTACTGCTAACATACTCCAGGACAATTAAAGCAAAAAAAAAAAACCCCCAAAACCACACACCCACAACCCAAACCATGAACTACAGAAGCTTGCTGAGTGATGGTTTGCCTGCCTCCCTCCTTTCAAGAGCGTAAGAATGAGAAGTGGCTGCAGGGATTGCAGGCAGGCAGCATCAGTTCTCTACCCAAACCCTGGAAGCTGCTTGCAGTGGAAGCCACGTAAAGATACGATGCTTTTCATGCCTCACTCGTTATTTATTAATTGAGAAAGCCATACCTGAGTCTGTTGATTCCGATGACACTGTTCTTTGTAAACCGTTAGTATTCTTGTTTCCCAGATCTTGCTCAGCGTTTTCATGCTGACTGTAAAGGAAGTTAGGTACTTGTTTTAGATCCTCATTGAAGCAAGAAATACAATATAGGATTGCCTGAACGTAGATACACAGCACAGGTAATCATAACCTGAAACCTTTATCACCAGCCAAGTGAAAGGATTCCACTTTGGCAATCCTGCAGACTGCCATCTCCTGTGCTCTGTTGAGTAGACGGACAAGGCCACCACCAGAACACCACGCTTATAAATATCCTCAGATCTAACACCTACAGAGACTTGAGCTTCAGGTTTTGGTTTTGTTTTTTTAAACCTGCGCATGCAGTGCTGATAGGACTTGAGCTTCAGGTTTTGGTTTTTTAAACCTGCGCATGCAGTGCTGATAATATGAGAAGTTAGGCTTCCAAAACAGAGACGGGGAGAGTGTCATTTAAGACAAACGTTCTCCCGATAGCCTTTCTGGTCACCTTGCACCAAACCACCAAGCTTTTCTCCATGACATACTAACTGTGAGAGGTTTTTTGAGACGATGTTTTAGAGCCTGTCCTGAGCTTGTGCCTTCACAAATGAAGGTTCTAATACAACAAAGCAACAGACCTCGCAATAAAACTTTAGGACTAAAAACAATTTAAATGTGCAGTAGGGTATTAGTGCCCGGAATCACGTTAGCACCTCCCAAACCATTCTCTAGAAACACCTATACCAGAGCCCCATTATCCTTCTCGGGACTGCAACCCTCTCTTTGGCTTTTACATTACTCATGTAATTACTGTTTTGCATAGAAAAATTACCAAACTTCTAATTGAAACTCATTTTTATAAGTAGTTAGCTCTCAAATTTTGTCTTATCAACTAAGCAAGTTCTTCTCTGCTCACATAACCATCAGACTAGTCTAAATCATTCTGTAGGTGAAGGGGCTCGAGGCATCCAAGAGCCTGACTGAGTAACACCAGCCCTTGACCTGACGCGTATGCAAGTACAAACGCTGCTCTGAGCAGGCAGGGAACCTCGAGGCAAGCTCTCCTGCCCGACCTCTGAGCCACATCAGACACACACTAATTTCATACGTGGGCAGGGGTGATGGCAGCTTCAATACAGAAGAAGAGATATGCTATCATATGTAGCCTTACTCTCTATTACCTTATTACATTTCCCCTTAGGGAAAGCTACTCGAGTGTGGCTCCTCCGTCACATGGGTTAATTAAAAAAACGTGCCGGGGCACAAGCTAGGGCTACAAACTCAAAGGACAGAATAATGAACACAGAGGGGACTGGTGCGAACCGTTTACAGGAATTCCAGGAATCTGAAGGAGGGAAGGATCATAAAGAAAGCAGGTGATTACAGAAATGAGAATGATGTAAAAACAGCAAACAAAGGACAAATACCAGGAGGGCTGTCAAGACCAGAGTGGGCCAGGGCAAAACAGGAGCCAGACAAGAGACAAACTGCAGAGGTTACTGTAGAAGTAACAAGATGAAGGAGTTAAAGACTAGTAACAGCAAAATTGGATTGAGCAACTGCGTGGTTACGGAGAACGGCAGAGCCCAAAGGCTGCAGCGTTTTCCATATGTGAAACAGTAAAGAGAGGAAGGGTGCGCAGGAACCGGGTGAGGGTGCCCACGGGGAGCAAGAAGGAGGTGAGGTGATGCAGCTAACGTGGCACGGAAGGCAGGAAGGACGGACACAAAGGCACCAGCATTAACTTGCAGGAGAGGGGAAAGCACCCGGTCCTGGGGCCAGGCACAGGAGCAAAGTGGATGCCCAGAGCAGAATCAGGGGAAGATGGTGGCACGTGGTGGGACACCGCAGGGGAAAGATGGCCCACAGCGCAGGAGCCACGACCACACGTGGGCAGGAAAGCAGGGGCTCCCATGGGCCAGAGAGGGGGGTGGCCCAGTCTTGGGGCTCCCTAGGGCGAAAGGGGCAGCAGAGAAGGGGTGGGAGGAGGGGCAGTGGAGAGGGGGGGCCCCCGCGTAGCAGGAGGG